ACGGCGTGCGGTTTTAGTCGGTTCGAGTCCGACATGCCACCGATAGGTGGTATCCGAGGGGATTTCCGCACGGAAACAAAAAAAAAAGGTCCGTGGCGGCTGGGTGCTATCCTGATATCTAGACGGAGAGCCATAATTACCTACTCATGACAGATTCATTCATTCTTTCACATTATTTACTATACGGTGTCAGTTACCGCAGTACAAAAGTAGCCTATGTTACTCGCTGATAACTACACTATCTCGTTTCCATTAGTGAAAAGATTTTTAAAATCGGTTTAGTGGATTAGGCCTGAAAGCGTAACAAACAATCTCACATTTACATTTACATTATAAGTATGGATGTAGAACTATGCATTTTTGAAATACTTGTATTTCTGAAGGTGTCGTAAGAGCCGACTAAGGGAGCAAACTACGCAGGAGAATAGCACTGCAAATAAAAGGAAAACTTGAAAAAAAAACCCCTATACCAGGCATAGGTCTCTTATTAGAAAGGCGGTTTTGGCCTTCTATACGACGCGGGCCACACGCGTTGGTATAGGGTTTTTTTCAAGTTTTCCTTTTATTTCCACTGCTGGATATAGATCCAGCAGTGGACTACTAAAGGCTTTTGATAAGATGATAACTCAACTGAAGTAAAATAAGCCAATATCGTTTTTGTATTTTAGATCTACTACATTTACTATAAACTTCATGAAGTCACGAATTTGTTATTTATTAGTCTGAAATACAATAACTCAGAACTTGAGGTAATACTGTTCGCTTTAAAATTAATTACCCATGACTTTGTAGTTTCTGAAATTATAATATAATACCTAGTAAATTGGGTAACAAGGAAACTTAAACTACGAATTTGAATCTATTATAAATGTACGCCTCGCAAAGACACGGAACGTTGTTTCTATCAAGGTCCATAAAGTTTGAAACTATTCCGTACTTAATAATTGTTTACATATGTATATCATCAGACATCACATCAACAGCCTTTAATAGTCCACAACTGGACGTAGGCCTCTCCTTAGAAAGGAGGTTTTGGCCTTCTATACCACCCTGACCCGTCTGTCCATATAGGTTGGTCGATGGTTTCAAGTTTTTCGTCTCTTTGCAATGCTTTTGTAGGGCGTAGCTCCCTTAGACAGCTCTTACCACACACTGCATATTGGTGGTGACACTACATATTCTTAATCAGTCACCATACGCACAATTATTATTTAATAAGTATGTATTTAGAAATATATAAGTACGTTTATCAGCACTCTGGTTACCATAGTACAGGCTCAATCTAGTTTGTGATCAGATGGCTCAGTGTGAGTTGTGTCAGGTTATTATTAAATATTATTATTCTCATGACCAAAACATTGTCTCGCCAAATATCTTATTTTTATGAGAAATCTACTTAATTTAACTTAAAAAAAAACCGTTCTAAACAATTTTTCTGTAGTATTTAACTTAAAAAATAAGCTGCGATCATTATTCTTTAATTTTTTAAAATTTGATTGAAATTTAATTTAATTTAATTTATTTAATACTTAGGTTCTTCACAGCTGACAGTATATATTTTACATAATAATAGTCGAACAATACGCCAATTACGAAGTACACAATTAATTGAAGGTAAATACACAGCAAGAGTAAACAATTCTGTATGAATATACCTAAAACAGTGCATCTCAAATATAGCTACACAGATAGCAATAATGTTGTTTGTATGTGGAGTGGTGTGTGTAAGTGAATGTGGAGAAGTGTGTGTAAGTGAATGTGGTGAGTGGTGATTGTATAGCGTGTGTGGGATGTTCAAAGTGTGATGGTATGTTTTTGTGGCAATTCTTGTGCTTGGGACAAAATCTGAATAATTTTATTTTTGTACGAATTTCGGGGAGTGTTAAAGGGATCCAGAGATGAGAAACCGATATTGTATATATGTGGAATACGGATGAATGGTGTCATTTTGATGTAGTTCGTTGTTGCAGATGGGGTTGCGAGTAATGATGTATGTCGGGTACGGCGCGAAGGAACACTAAAATTAATTTGCTCTAAAAATGTGTTGCAGTCAAATTTATTGTTGAGGATGTCGTACAAGAACATCATGTCTGCGATTTGGCGTCGATCTTCCAGTGTATTTATTTTGTAATATTGACATGATTGCTCATATGTCATGTTTTTTACTTGGGCTTTATAGTTTAAGTGTTTAATGAATTTCTGTTGTATTCTCTCAATTAAGCCTATTTGAGATTTTAGAAATGGTCTCCAGATGATACTTGCAAATTCCAAGACACTTCGAACATAGCTGTAATAAAGAACCTTAAGACAGTGTAGGTCTTTAAACGGTTTACTATTGCGTATGACAAACCCCAGTGATTTATAGGCCTTACTGATTACTTGATCAACGTGCACTTTAAATGTAAACTTACTGTCTAAAATAACACCTAAGTCCCTTATCTGTGATGTTCTGGGAATAGACTCATAGCTTATGCTATAGTCATAGCTGATAAGGTGTTTTTTCCGAGTAAAGCTAATTATTTGGCATTTTTGAGCATTAACACTTATTTTATTGAGTTGATAATAGTCAGTTAGTCGGTCTAGGTCAGATTGAAGTAGTAAGCAATCGTCGTGTTTATTGATTATGCGAAAAATTTTTTTGTCATCTGCATACAAAAGATGTTTTGAATGATGTAGGCAGTCTGGTAAATCATAAAGATAGATATTATATAATAAAGGCGATAATAGCGATCCTTGAGGCACCCCCGAGGTGACATCTACATAGTCCGATCTATAACCGCCTATCACTACCGCCTGACGCCTATTTCTCAAATAGGATTAAAGCCATCGCAAAAGGTTACCTTTTATTCCCACGGCATTTAATTTTGCAATAAGGACCCCATAATGTACCCGGTCGAATGCCTTCTCAAAATCTGTGTAAATCACGTCGATCTGCGCATCCCGTATGTTAGATGTTATATAGTTACTTAGCTCTAGAAGGTTGGTGTTGACGTTACGACGTTTAATGAAGCCGTGTTGTGTTGATGGTAGGCAATGCTGCGCGGTACTGTATATGTGCTCATAAACTACTTTTTCTAACATTTTACCAAAGTTGTTAAGTAGAGAAACCGCTCTATAGTTTTTTATGTCATTTTTAGAACCTTTTTTGTGAATTGGTACAATTTGAGCGTCCTTCCATCGTGTAGGAAATATACCATCGTTTAACGACTTCTGGAATATAATTTTAAGCGGTTCGAGTAAACCAGTTTGACATTTTTTTATAAACACGGCTGGAAGGCCGTCCAAACCTGCGCCTTTTTTTGGGTTTATTTTACTAAAAACGGTTTTTAAAGCCTTGGTAGTAACCACAACAGAGTAAATATTTGATGCGTGGGGGGATTCCGGACAAATTACGGTTTCAGCGGGATCGGGTTGTTGAAAAACGCTATGAAAAAATGAATTAAAAGCATTACAAATGTCTTCACCGTTGGAGAAGGTAGTTCCGTCATAAGACATATGGCTTGGGTAGCCCAAGGTCTTCCTTTTGCTCTTAATAAACTTCCAGAAGTCTTGCGGAGATTTTTTAATGTCTCTTTCACATCTTTCTATATACTTGGTGTAGAAATCGTTTTGGAGGTACTTTACCCTTTTTCTTAGGAGTGAAAATTCCGCGTAGTCGCGAGGATTCCTGAACCTTTTCCATTTTTTATGAATTCTGGACTTTTCTTTAATAACGTTGATGAGCGAATTTGGGTACCATTTTGGGTAATTGAACATGCCAGATATGCTGATTGAGGGTACATGAAGGTTAATTAATGAATTTAATTCTTTGTATAGGTTATCTACCATTACGTCGACACTATTCGAGCCCAAATATTGATTCCAGTTTTTTTTTACATAGCTCCTCATTGATTTTATCGTAATTGGCTTTAAAAAATTTTCTAATTAATCGTGGTTTGCCCTGAATTGGCTTAAAAACGTAATCTGATATCTCGATTTCAAGTGGAATGTGGTACTTGTCAATTTTCACCAACGATGAATCACTTTGCTTACATTCTAATATTGTATTCGAAATAACAAGATCTAACACGTTGCCACTGCAATTAGGTGTTAAATTATATTGGGTCATACCCATATAATCCAAACAATCGACAAAATCACCTGCTGCTGTGCTTAATTCGGCATAAGATGCATGGCCCACGTGGTGTCCGTCTTTCTTCCATGCAATGAAAGGGAGGTTAAAATCTCCAATAACTAAAAACGTGTCATTTGGGAAAGCCGAGTGAAGCATTGCAAATGAGTTTCTAAAATCATTTAGCATAACATGAGAATTTTTAGATGGAGGTATATAGACCGTTGCGAGGTGTAAACTGAACGTTGAGAATGCATTATTTATTGTTACCCACACCGATTCCGCACAACCCGTGTCTATGTCGGTCCTTGCTACGGCTGAAAGATCTCGTCTTATACAAAGTAGAACTCCACCACCCTTCCGAGAAGCAGGGCGGTCGTATCTAAACACATCATAACGATTATCACATATTTCATTGTCTAAAATTCCCTCACATAACCAACTTTCGTTTATTATAATTATATCGTACGAATTAGCCTCAATGTGACGATAGAAATCCAGTAATTTAGTCCTGAGCCCGCGCGTATTTTGAAAAATAATTCGTAACTTACGCGTAGTCATTGTTAGGTGTTTATTATATTGGTACGGTGATAAATTCTTTTAATTTCACTAAAGTACTAAGGAGGGTAGGTGTGAAAAAATATGAAGATCACTTGTACGATGTAAGGGACTACCCGCATAATTAAGGTGACTAGGAGCGGCCCAGAAACTCTCAACCTTTGGCTTATGAATTTCAGATGTAGTATTAAGTAACCACAAGTAATGAGTGTGTCGACTGTTGTCGTATATAATTTTAAATTTGTGTGATGTGTATTGTTATGAGTAAAAGTTCTTGTGTGAATGTTGTAGTTAAAGTGTAGAAAACAAACATAAAACAAACTGACTAGTTCTAAGGCGAAAATTTCTGTATATCTTCTTCTGCGGTAATTTCTACTGGTGGTGATGTTTCGTTGTTTCGCATATAAATAGAACAGTTTTTTACCCAGACGAATTTAACATTCAGTTCCCGAGCGCGTTGACGGCAGTTGTTCAGCAGTATTTTATTGGCTATTGTTAAATGCTCATTTATGAATACTTTATTAGAATTCCCGTCATAACCTAAGTCTTTTGATGTAATTCCTTTATCTTTGTTAAGTTTTCTAAAATTGATTATTATGCTGTCCTTGGCCCTTCTGGTCTTCAACTTTGCAATAATTCTTCGTGGACGCCCAGGCTGCGAGTGATGAGGTTGTACTCGAGTTGTGAACTCAATGTCATCTGCATTAATATTGGCATTAACAAATGTTGCAGTCTGTAGAAGTAACTGCACCAAATTTTCACCACTTTTTTCGGGGACTCCGACTATCTCAACGTTCAGGAAACGGTTTTGCTGTTGTGATCTATTGTATTCTTTTTCTAGAAGCTTCATTTTTTTATGGAGGTCCGTCGTTTCCTCAATTTGTTGTTTCAACTCCTTGTCTAGTTTAATGAAACGGTCTTCATGGGTATTCAATTTAGTAATTAACTTATTTTGTTCAATTTTTAAGGATTCCACTGAAGATAGTTTTGCTTCTATATCGTCCAGTCTGGTATTCAGCTCCTCAATTACCTGGCTGCTAAATCTGGCATTCAATTCACTAACCTCATTACGAAGTTTCTCCACGAGAACCGGTAGACCAGATAGCGATGCCAACATAGCTTCAATGTTTTCAAGTGATGTCGATTCGGCCTTAGTCTCTTCAATTGGTTTACAATGCGTTGTGTTCCTGGGAGAATTCAGTTGTGCGTTAGATTTGCAGTTCGGGCATAGCCAAGAGGCTTGTCTCTCAGAACCAAGCCTTCTCCAGCCCACTTCAGATAGGGCGACGCAGTAATAATGGTATACCAATTTACACCTCGAACACTGGGCACCATCCTGAACTTTGTCATTACATTTTTTGCAATTAGAATTCATTCCGACGGTTGACGGTCTCTGTCCTCTGCGTGCAGTGCGTGAGCGAGTCGAAAAATCGCAGTTGTCCCGTTTACTCGAAGAGGCGGGGCCCCACACGCGGATTGATTTTACGGAATAAGAGCGTTCTAAGTGCGATTAAGATTACCAATCTATTTAAAACTTTACTTCGCAACCGAATAGGATTAACTTCAAATGACACTGATTTAATATATTTGATAAATATTTGCGATACGTCTACTCTCAATGATACTTTGATGCAATGCGAAATGCTATGACCAGACCAGAAATGAATGCCAATACAATTTGAAAAATCATTATTGAAGCCTATACACACACAAAATATTCCAAACCGCCTTCGTTTTAGAGTCAATTAAAATCCTTTTTACAAACACCCTTTTAACCCACAAAAATTAATATGAATAGGGTACATAATTAAACATTGAAATGAGTCCATTACTATTATTCATCTGAATGCAATACAAATTAACCTTTACAGCTGCAAGAGAGATATTATCATATATATTTAACTAGTTGTTCCAATTAAGATAAGTAAACGAATACAGACTAGACCTGAACTGAATACTGAGAACTTATTAATATTTCTATCAGTAATTCTAACAAATTAAATTAGCGTCTGTCTATGTGTGTTCTATATGTTTACCTACTTATTATCTCATCGTGTGATAATAATATAATAAATAATACTTCGGATATCTGACACACAATGCCGTCTAGTTTCAAACTAAGTCTGCTTAGTTTTAGCTTTCATAGTACAAACTCTGGCTTGTACCATGAAAGCTAGATTCTTTATCTTTTTTTTTATACAACTCCCGCACTAGGAATAAATCCTGTGTCTGTGACTTTACAAACATACATGAAACGGACACAAAGTACACCCAGACTCAGAACAACAATTTGTGGATCACACAAAGTGTCATCCCATGTGGGGTTAGAACCCACAACACTCGGCGCAATAGAAAGCGGCGTGGCGACTTCTTAAACCACTACGCCATCCGTGCAGTCGCGATTGTGTGATAGAATAGGTACTTAAATACTTTTTTTGTAAATCCAAACATTTTATACTCGTACATAGAAAACACGCTTTCGAAACAAAAATTTACAGATAATACAAACATTTGGTCCGACCCGGGAATCGAACCCGAGACCTCATCACAGCTGTCGCATACGCTACCACTGCGCCACCGAAACAGTACAAATAAAAACCACCTATAGTGATATAATCACGATGAGATAACGCAAGACCTCACAGTGCACGAGAAACCGTTGTAACTCTACAGGATCTGCTGTCAGAAACCATACGTCATCCTCCGTACTCACCAGACCTTGTTCTAACGGACTACCACTTTTTTCGTGATTTGGACAATTTTCCACGTGATAAAAAAATTTCTTACCCGGAGGCAGTATCAAATATAATGTAATGTATATAAGTCAGCTATTTGGAGATCCCTAGTTTTTTTTTTTAATTGGGACTAATCCCACCCACACTCCCACCACTGTAACTCCTATACACCAGGATCCACAGCAGTGACCCACGAACATACCGAGTTATGACACTCGGGAAGTCCCAGGAAGAAATGAAAGTGTCTTGGAACCCGCAACGAAATTAATCAGAAAAAAATTGGAGGAGTTGGAAATACAGTAAATCCACTTCCCTCCTTAGCAAAGCGGGAGACAAAATAAAGTAAAATGGGCATACACCATTTTAAACAGGGAAGCACCACGGCCACAAAATATTACGGGTCCTACGTGAGCTATATTTGATTTCTATAATATGTATGGCAAAATCGCCTAAACGCCTAGATCCCTAGTTATAAACACATCATATTCATCCTTGATTAAAAAAAATTAAAATCACTTATCTCATTATTACAAAAAGCTTTGATAATAGGCATTCGACCTATTTGCCCAGACAGTAACACATGACAATAGCACATTTTTAATATCGAACAAACGAATCTAAATGACAAATACGAAAAGCAATATTTATTCGAAATCATTTCATATTTCGTAAAACGACTTATTTAAACAAGTCACTTTCTACGAACCAACAAAAAATAAATATATTCAGTGTATAAAATAACCAGCAAGAAATATGCCTTTATCAGGTCAAATTTGCCAGTTCACTAGTCCAGAAATCATTTACGAATACAGTCAAAAGATTTCTTCAGAAACGTTATTTTTTCACCAAAAAGGGAAAAGCTCAGGCGATCTTCAAAACGTAGTGACGCCCGTTGTGGCTATTCATAACTAAACATCGATATGCCAATAAAATAAATAAAAACTATCTTTGAAGCGGGTTGTACGTTGTGTTAAAATTTGGGCTCTATCTGTGCAGAAGTTCTTGAGTCTTGGAAGCGTACATACACCCACTTAATATTTATACGAGTATATACATATATATATTACTAGCTGACCCTGCAAACGTTGTTTTGCTATTTACATTATTTAAATATATTTTTTTTAGAATTTCTTAAAATCCGTTCTTTGCTGACCTCTACTCGGTAAAAAGAATATTCCTACCAAATTTCAAGTCTTTATCTCTAATGGTTCCAGAGATATCGTGATGAGTGACTATATACGTGGAAATCTCTTATATATATATATATATAGATTGATATATGAGATTTCCTCGGACTTAGTAATAGTAATAGATTAGCTTAAACAATTAGATTATATATCAATACTATACCTATAACAATACCACGGGAGAATCGCATTTAAGAGCCGGAATCCACATCATTTTCTTCATCGCGAGTCGTACACGACATCTCAAACGCTAGTCACGTTTTTAGTTTTACGTATATTGGAATTTCATTTGTTATCATATGAACTTGGCCGTGCCAGTTTCTATAAAACTATACTATTTTTTTTGTTGAATAGGGGACAAACCAGCAGACTGGTCACCTGATGGAAAGCGACGAAAGTGATGAACGCCTGCAACTCAGGAGTACGCTCTTTCCTTGAAGGTTTGAAGATCGAATCGGTCCGGAAATACCGCAGCCGATAACTTGTTCCACAGATTGGTAGTGCGAGGCAAAAAGTGAAGTGAACGATGACGGAAGGTTGCTGCCAGTATTAGTCCGAACAATTCCTCGGAGCACTCTCCATGATATATACGATAAAGAATGCAGATCGGAGCTACACCTCTACGTAACGCCAAGGGATCGAGCCGGTTGCAAATCTTTTGGCTATCGACGATTCAAGTCGCTCTTCTTTAGGTCGCTCCTGAGTTGCACGCGTTCATGGGTGGCGGTAGTTGCTTTCCATCAGGTGACCCGTGTGCTCGTTTACCCCCTATTCCATAAAAAAGGAGTACGCTCTTATATACTAAATACCGATAACTTATTCCACAAGTTGGTAGTGCGAGTCAAAAAGTGTCTTGAAAAGCGCACATATATGAACATTACACTTTGTTCTTTGTTTTATTATTTCATGATGAATACTTTAAAATGTCTTAGGAAATCAGTAACAAACGTTGTAAATTATCCTTATTACCGCTACGATAACATCGCCTAACTTACCGTAATACGTATAAAAGAATAGTACAAACAAGCAGACACACTAAATAGCAAAGAATGGTTTGTAAACGTTTTTTAACTATTCAAAATTATATTATCGATATTAAGTTAATGATATTAGGACAACACTACTAGTAAAACAGTCCCTTAATATGTAGAGTAACTAATCTTAAAAGATGGTCTGTCAAAGTATCAAAAGCTTTTGAAGTTCGTGTTTGAAATGGAGCAGCTTTTACAGGGTACTTTATTCGGTTTAATTTCCTCCGATATTCTTTGGATGGCAAATAGGGATGTACACAAATTGATATTGGTTTCGGCGATTAGTTAAAATGGGTTTCGTTATTATATTCTGTACGTGGTACATACGTTTGATCTTCTTAAAGAGTTACTAGATTATCTGTTCCTTACGTCATCTGGTCAATAAGATAACTACACAACTACAATATAATGATTTATGTTTATCCCTAAAAGATTTAGTACGAGTATGTATATTGTTGTGTAAGCACGTAGTAGCTTTAAGCGACCTACTGCCATTATAAAAACAAAACATGATGATTATCATGAGATATATAGCTTTAGATAGATTTTATTTTCGATCTCTCCTCTTCCATAAAGTTACAATATTATAGTGATATTATTAGACACCAAAAAAAATCGGTTTCCAATTTTATATAATCCATGACCAAAACATTACAGCGAAAAACCTTTGTACTCAAACGTCCTGTGTTCATATGTAAATTTATGCTACCTGTGCCAGTTTGAAAAAAAAAAGAAAATAGGCTTTAAGCGAACAACCACTTAAATGAAAATAGGTAAAGTACCTTGAAAAGCCTTTTTACGTTTTTTATGATTTGAATTCAGAACCATTGAAGAAGAATAAATCGGAAATTAAGTGAATTCGAAGTTTCGTACGGCGATTAATTTGGTTTTAAAACTAGAAATATCGAGCCTACGTTCAATAACAAGCTTTAATTATTCAGCAGTTTCGAACTGGAGTTTAACTTGAGAGAAATTGTGTTTACTTCAAAATTTCCGATTATTGTTTTAAAACCAAAAGGTCAAGCCTAGAAATGTAATTATTGATATTCGAAGGTATTCGATATTGAAATGTGACAGGATTCAAATTAAGGATATATTCTGAATTAGTTTTTGATCGAACTATGTATTGCCCGTCTAGGGAATTTCAACCATTTTGAAAGTATTTTCCATTTATAGATCTATATCTTGAACTTTCTTTAGAAAAGATTTTGTACGAAAACAGTTCAAAATATTATACAGAACCTCGACGAAATGTTTTTTTATTATTTTTATTTATAGCCCCGTATCATAAAAATGAATTAATAATATTTATTATTGTATAAATCGGAGTGTCACCACCATTCATAACGTGGGTGTCGTAAGAGCCGATTAAGGGAGCAAACTATGTGGGACTACAGTACTGCAAAGAGAAGGAAAACTTGA